TCCTTTTACCAGTTTTGTGATTTACAGGATCCTTAGGACGTAATTTTTAGTGAACTTTACGGTGCTTTCTGTAATTCCTAGTAATATCTGTAAATTCAGAGTTCAGACTCTGAAATGATATCAAAGGTTTTTCATGCCTCAGTCTGTATAGGATACTTTACTGATACTTATAAAGCTGCGTTTCGGAAAAAAAAAACCAAAAGGTCCATCTCTTTTAATATTGTTTGTTCTTTCTAAATATTCAAGATTATTTTATCGTACTCATTTTTGTTTGTTAAATAAAGCTCACCTTCCCCGGTTGGTACTTCAAAATGCCAAGTTTTGAAATAAAGATGCCATCATAGTAGGAAAACATGAGCAGTTAATAGTGAACAAACATTTTCCGCTGCGATACTGTCAAGGGTAATAATCATCCCTGGTGAATAGCCATCACGTGAGAAATATTAGCGCAGGTTTGAGAGTGATAGGAGATTTTCTCTTGTGTATTAAAAGTTATTACAGTTTCTGCAGTTTCGAGAAAAATGATGTTCTCAAATACTGTGAACTACTCTTTTGCTCAGATTTAGTGAAAGTACGTTAAGTTCTTCGACTTCTGTAGATTAATCAACCACTTTCGTTTTCTCAGCGCTTCTCTCTCTCAGTTGTTCCTGCTCATAAAATTCTTAAAGTGCAACGCTTGCTCGTTGGATGAGTCCAAACGCGTTGAAAATTAGTGTTTCAGCTTAATAAGCAACTCTAGCTTATAATAATAATGTGTGTCTATCTCTAAATAAGAGAAAAAAGTTTATAACTTAGTAATAGATATCATTAACACTAATGGTGATAATTCAACATATTTCTGCACGTGAACATTATGACATTTATATTTTTGGTACTGAGCATCTCGTATCAAATGACCTACGAAAATAATGGAAAAACCTTTTAACGTAAAATGGGATTTCACATTTCTCTAGTTTAAGTACAATTATATTGCTTTTTATAATTGCTGAGATATAATAATTTTTATTTATATATTAAATAATTAATGATTAATTTTTACTATACATAAAAACAAACGAAAGAGTAAACCTTTTACCTACAATGAGCTCTTAACATAACTTTCGTACTAGACAAAGGTCAAAAGATCAAAACATGACATGCTCTCACAACCCAAAATATAAATATCAGAGAGATAAAAAAATAGGTAAAGATATATCGTGCAAAGATAAATTTCTAAGAAGCATTATAAATTTCTTACTACCGATTAGGTGCTATATAATTTTTTACTTTCTGTTAATCACAAGAGCTTACTTTTCAAGAGGAAAAACACTTGGTAGAAAGAGAGAATGGATTAAACTAAAATAATATCACATTTCTCACTGTCAGTAGGGTCCTTTATGGATTTGAGTCACGAGATAGATTATCTGCCCGTGTAAGGAAGATGTCTAGATTATGCGTTTTACAACTGGCTGGTTTTTGTGGATTTAGATTGTTTATAACTTACTGCTTTCACTAACCGAAGAAATATTTCTTCATATTGGAAGAAGATAAAAATAATAGGAAATTATTTCAATAAAAAAATGTGACCTTATTATTCATTTCTTTATCTTAGTAATCGACTCATTTTTCGGAAAACGTAGCTTAATGATAAAACAAAACACGAACGTAATAACAGGAAACATTTATTGGATGTTTCGGAATCGTCATAATTCCATCATCAGTAATCTAGAGATACAAAACAAGCAATCAATATTTGCAATTACAACAGAAATATATATATATATATATAAAATAAACAATTAAAATATACAAATATAACACGAGAAAATGAAAACTGAGGCATAGGTGAAACAGTTAATATAGGTTTAAATCCAGTGAAGACTGTGTGTTATTTAGAAGAGTTTTTATGTACAATGTTTCTTTTATAAGAATTTCTGTATCATATTTGGCTATTGAAAGAATTTTAAAATTTGAGAGAGAAATCAGATGTCCTGTTTCTGTATTGTGTTGATAGATAGCGGAGTTGGGAGGGTTTGTAACTGAACTTCTTATAAAAGAAACATTGTACATAAAAGCCCTTCTTCTAAATAACACACAGTCTTCACTGAATTTAAACCTATATTAACTATTTAACTTGTGCCCCAGTATTCATTTCCTCGTGTTATATTTGTATATTTGAAATGTTTATTTTATATATATACATATATATTTCTGTTGTAATTACAAATAGCGTTTGTTTGTTCTGTACCTCTAGATTACTGATGATGGAATTATGACGATTCCGAAACGTCCAATAAATGCTTCCTGTTATTACGTTCGTCTTTTGTTTTATCATTTCTTTATTTTCATTAGAAAATAATATTAAAATATATTTTACAATTAATAGGATCACATTTAAACCAGTATGAAAAATATGTCGCGAATTACTTCCCATAGATTTTTACAGTTTGTCCGTCCGTCAGTCCGTCTAACTCTAGAAGCCAAATTTCTAAATAGTGATTGCTCGAATTTTCTTAACACCTTCCTCAACATCTGTTTAGCATATGTTATTAAACCAAAGTCAGTAAAAATTGCAATAAAATCGTTCTTCATTTTTCTGAATAGAGCAATGTAAGAAGATCAGCTGTCTTAAAATGGTGGTTGGATATCTGTACGACAAATAATTGAAAAATATTTCAAGCAAAAAAAAAAAAAAGAGGAGACAAAACGACACAACTACAGTCACTAAGGGAGGTGTTTGTGAAATTCAGCGATCACTATTATTGTTTGGGGTTTTGGCTGCTGGAGTTAGACAGACTGAGGGAAAACAAAGTGTAAAATTCTATGGCATTCATTAACGTCATATTTTTATTGTGGCTTAAATATATAAAATAAATAGTACTTTTCACTGAAAACTTTAAAGCTTTCCCTCTAAGGCAACTCTGAAATTTCGTTTTAGAAGTATCGAAAAGGCTACCGTCGACTCTATATTCCAGTAGTTATCATTTCATAATGTTACAAGAAATGCAAATTAAAAATTCAATGTTTTGTAGAAATAAATAAATAGTACCAACGATAACACAAAATCTTACGTATATCTGTACGTAGAATCTTTGTTCGTTCGTATTTCAGGTTCATTTTCATCGTGAAATGCTTTCTATTTAAGATTAAATATAAAAAAAAAAAGTTGTTTATCTTTAAAAAAGTGTATTGAATCAGTGTTATCATAAAATGGGGATTTCAGTGAACGAGATATGAACCGAAGATCTAATATTTCTTTTCACATAAGATTCCTGTTTTGTTAAGAAGTTTTAGGATTAGTTTGATATGATCTAAGTTGGTTCTAATAATACTTACATCGACAATGAGCCTAAGCTAATAGCTCAATTTGTATAAAGCATTTGCTGCAGAATGTATGTAATCTAATTTTAATATAGGGTAATAACTCAATTCGGACAGAAACAATGCTACAGGAGTTTTATAATATAATCACAATTTAGAGCAGTAACGCAATTCAGATAAAGAGATTGTTGAAATAGCTGTGTAACATAATCAAATTTAGAGCAGTGATGCAGTTCAGATAAAGACATTTTTGAACTAGTTGTGTAACATAATCAAATTTAGAGCAGTAACGCAGTTTAGATAAAGACATTGTTGAAACAGTTGTGTAACATAATCAAATTTAGAGCAGTGATGCAGTTCAGATAAAGACATTGTTGAACTAGTTGTGTAACATAATCAAATTTAGAGCAGTAACGCAGTTTAGATAAAGACATTGTTGAAATAGTTGTGTAACATAATCACAATTTAAAACAGTAACACAGTCTAGATAAAGACATTTGTGTAATATAATCACAACTTAGAGCAGTAACGCAGTTTAGATAAAGACATTGTTGAACTAGTTGTGTAATATAATCATAATTCATGACACTAGTTTAATTCGGCTAGAGAAGACATTGTGACAGGAATTTTGTAATCAATTTAGGGCAGTAGCGCAATTTGAATAGAGACATTGTTGAAATATTTGTGCAATCTAATCACAGTTTAAGGCAGTAACTCAATTCGGATAGAGACATTACAACAGACTTTTTCGCAACATAATCACAATTTAAGGCAGCAAATCAATTCAGAAAAGGAAACTGTTACGATATTTATCTAATATAACTACAATTTAGGACTGTTACTCGATTCCGATAAAGATATTGATGCAGATTTTGTGTATCAAAATCACAGTCTAGAGTAGTAACGCAATCTGGTAGAGACATTGCTGAAGGATTTGTGTATCATAATCACAATTTGTGGTTGTATTTTAGTGCTTTCTACTCAGATATGGAAGATCTTTTGTTACAAAACTACTTACGTCTTCATGCTATCATAGAAAGTATCTTTGATTTAATTTCAGTAAAGATTTAAAGCTTCGTTTTTTTTATTTGATTCGAGAAAAATGACGCAAGTAATTTTTCACTAATTGTAGGTCAAAACTGCAATAAGAATCGTGGAGCTTGGTTTAAAGTCCAGAACTATCCACTGTTTTCGTGAGGAGGAATCTTGAACCTGCAATAACACTAACCTTTCAATAAGCCAGTGAATTTCTTATTAACTTTAGACTATTTTTAGTAGCTTATCTCTAGATTCCTTTTAATGTTCACAGAAACTTTCTGATATGAACGTCAGACCAGAATCTCACGAACTCCCTTATCAGCAAGCCAATCACTATATCTTACTTGTTTTGCCACCAGAGGATTTTTACTTAATTATTAATATCGAAAACAACTATTCCCAAAACACCCGGTTTTATGATAGAGAACACCATCTATTGCTTTTATGTCTCATTTATTTGAAAACCATGAGTTCTACTAATTGCACCATATAGATTCATGTTTTCAAGACTTGTATGTTGGACTGTCATGCAAACTAACAATATTTTGTGGTATATTTATTCAAAACACTTCTTTTTGTTTGTACTTAAAAAGGTGTTTGATGGAATACCTTAAATTTAGGTTAGTTTGTTTTTCAAAAGACTTGAGTGAAATTATTCTTACCGTTCTATCGCCGAGATTTCGCACAACACAGTGAAGATAAACAGTTTGGCCTAACTGAGCCGTCACGTTCTTTAACGCTCCTTTTTCATAAAAGTGAGGATGGTAGGCATCACCTACACTTGTTTTCAGGTCCCCACTTGTTGTCATTCTTCTCCATCTTTCAGTTTCTAATTGCCATACTAAACTGCCCTCTGTTGACCGTTCTGCGTAAAAGTAAGGTTAATTTGCTTAATTTCTTAAATAATAAATATTAAATAGCAAATAACAATTAAATTATATTCCTAGTTTCAACTTTCAGGGCATATTGTTATTCTTATTTTGAAACGTGCACACACACACACACATATTTGAAAATAATGTTGTTTTCAATTTTTGTTAGATGCCTGCAAATTATTCTACTTGCTTGTGACTGAACGAAATCCAGTAAGCAAGTATAGCTCTTAGAATTTAAACTAATCTTTAAATGTTAATCGATGCCGTAGTTAGTAGCCTGTAAAGTAAAACCTTCGTCTAAATATTAATTTGTTACTGTTAGTTTTAATATTAGCTCCTAATTCCTAATTACTTTTTATCCCACGTTTCGGTTGCTAATCAACTGCCGGCTTCAGGTAAGTCTTGAGAAGGACTGCTTGTATTGGTAAGAACCGAGGTTTGATCCTGGATTTTCTTGTTATAAAACTAGTGTGCTGATCGCTCGAATACCTTTCTCCAAAGAAGACCTAGGATTGAATCCCATTCTCTACCAACACAAAGAACCTTTCTGAAGACGGCAGCAGATTAAAAGCAAAAACAAAAGTTACAAAACAATTATAAATAACTAATAAAAAAAATAACTAATCAATACCTAGGTGATAGTGTAGGCTATTAGCCATGACAACATTGTGTATTAAATGATAAACTGAAAAACTGCTTTTGAGCGAAGGCATTCATTCATATTAATATTTATAGCCATAAACTTATTGTATTCAGCATTATCTAAAACAATATTACTCTCTCACTTAGACAAACTCAAAAGTCAAGTATTTCATTTGATCTTAGAGAATCTGCCAAGTTAATTTTCTATGTTAATTCTCAAAAAAATATTCAACTTCAATCCTCATCATAATTAATGCTTTCCTACTAAATATACTGAACTACAATCTTTTGAATTAATAATGGTTGGAGACGGCTTGAATGGGTAATGAAGAAAAACTTTAATATAAGTTTAACATAACAGCAAATGTACAACGTTTCGTGTACCTGATGATGACAAAAACCTTTACCCATTCACGCCGTCTCCAACCATTATTAGTCTCCAAGTGGGTTTCTCGTCATCGAATCTTTTGAATTATTTCTGATTTTGAAACAGTCGTTAAAGCGATAGGGAACATGCTACCAGGTAAAAGATTAACCACCTTGTATTAGACAAAACGAAAAACAGTAACAACAAAGCATCTTATAACCAATTAAGGTCTACATTTTTGTGCTGGATCTTCAACTTAAGGCTTTAGATGGTTGAATTTGTCATAGGCAGAAGACTTAGACAGAATTCTTTCCTTGTTCGGTTTTTCACGTAGCTCAATCAGCTCATTTCCATATTGAAAAATAAGCACCTTCCAACCAATATACTTGCCAATAAGTCTTGAATTCACACACTATGTTTCCGTTTTGATATACATGAGTGATCAAAGTGAGGGGCACACAACTTACACAATAATTTCTATTATTACTACCACAGACTTTCAGTATGTGGGAGGATGTAACGATAAATTAATGAAAACCACCGAGAGAGAGGGAGAGAGAGAAGGAAAAGAGATAGAACATAACGACAAGACAGAATAATTTCTAGGAACAAGCGAAGATATAAGATAATTAAGAAATAACTTCATTAACTTAGGTTAACTTCATAGACTTTTAAAACTATATAGTGCACAAAGATAAGAGAAAAAAGTTTTAATAAATCTGTTTTAAGAAAACTGAAAACAAACAAACAAAACATAGATGTAGAAAATATTTCTGTAAGAAACTTAAAGACAATAACGAATACTGAAACACGCCTAGCAATTTCTGGTGATCGTATTGTATAAAAAGAGAGAAACTTCAACTCAAGAAAATGATCGTTGTGCATTGCAAACTAGATATCCGTACCCTATTCGTCATTAGCAGTCATTGTTAGCGAGCATTTGTCCATGAAATGCTACTTGTACTTTAATACATCGCTGTGAAAAAGCAACTGATGAGTACATAAACAAGAAAACCTTTTATTGCATTAGTGTGGAAATACTTTTCATTGGAAATGGAAATATGGTAATGATGATTAAAAACTCAATGGGATGAGTCCTCAATACTAGAAGATGTTTCTACAACTGTATGGGATGAGTCTTCAATATCAGAAAATGTTTCTACAACTTAATGGGATGAATCTTCAATACTAGAAGATGTTTCTACAACTCAATGGGATGAATCTTCAATACCAGAAAATGTTTCTACAACTTAATGGGATGAGCTTTCAATACCTTAGAGTTGTAGAAACATCTTCTAGTATTGAAGACTCATCCCATTAAGTTGTAGAAACATTTTCTATTTTCTGGTATTGAAGATTCATCCCATTAAGTTGTAGAAACATTTTCTGGTATTGAAGACTCATCCCATAGAGTTGTAGAAACATCTTCTAGTATTGAAGACTCATCCCAGTTTCTACAACTTAATGGGATGAGT